AATGAAGAAAAGGTTTGTTCCATTGCACTATTTTTTTACAGAAACAAATATTTATTGAACCTTTATTATGTTCTGGACTCTACTAAATACTGCAAAAATACCCATGAAGTATAAAAGCACTCTTGCCCCCAAGAAGGAAACTCAACACTAGCATATGTGAAGCACTTGTTTTTATAGTAATCAAGTAATCAAACTCTCAGATACTGATCACAGACCTACCCTGCCAGGCTGAATCAGTCCAAGCACCAAGAGCCAGCAGCTACATTCAGTAAGGAACATGACAGAAGCATGCCCAGGCCTCTTCATGCTTACGGAGCATCGGAATGACATCTGTTAAAGAATATTACATCACCGGCAAGCACAGAGGCATCAGTCACTGCTCCATTATCATCTCAGCTTTGCTGGCGATACCTGTGTCAGCATTTCCAGCAGCTGTTTTAATAATGGGTAATATCAAATGTAGAGGCCAAGGGCAGTAGATTTAAGGCAGCATCTATGAGAAAGAACCCTGGACCCTGAGTGGAGACAATAAGTATCTTTCCAGCCTGGTTTCTGGTTCCCGTAGAGAAGACCAATAATATGTTTAAAATCAAACATTCAGGGAACACCTGTGTGGTCTTAGAAGGAGGTAAAGACAAGATAACAAGAAAAGAAGTAGAAGATGTCAGTAGCTTTCTGACATCTCTTTTGTTGGTGTAACTGAAATTTCCCAAGGACCGGCCAGCTTGTGCGTAGTGAAGGGTCCTACCAAGTTTGCCTCAGGTTAAACTGATTCCTAGCTTTGTTCTTATACTACAGGGCTTTGACCTCCTCAAAAGTTCCCTTTAAGTATTTCTGGGAGTGCTAGGGGATGGCTTCTAGGTGCACAAATGGGCCTCTCTCAAGCTCTTCAACTCAGCTGCATTCACCAACACGGAGGTTGGTCCCTTCGTGAAATCTGTGCTGGCCCTGATGTTCCCAAAGAGAGAAACCCTGGAGGTAGGAAGCTTGGGGGTTGTCGCTGCACCAAAGTCATGTCATGTCCCTTAAGGTAGCAGGCAGATGGTTCTCCTTCCCTCTCTGGGTCACACTTTTTCAGTTGAAAATAAATGCATTGTTGCCTGTGTCCCGGGGTCTCATGGAGTCCTTCCTGCAGCCCCTATTCTTGTGCCGCTCGGAAAGCAGTCCACTGGAGTGGGCTGGAGAAACATAATATTAATAGCTGACATGCAAGAACACATAATATGTGCCATGCACTGCTTGAAATAGTTTATAGATGTTAATTCAAAACACCCCTGAGAGGCGTGTTTCTAATAATACCCCCATTTTACAAATGGGGTAGAAGAGATTAAGTACCTTGCCCAAGGTGATCACCAGCCCATTAAGTAGTAGAAGTGGGACCTTCTACTCCAGGCTCTTGGGCTGTAGAATCTGTGCTCTGAAACAGCTACAGCTTCACAAACATCAAGTGGTCCTCGGGATCCAACCCGTCTGTCCCTCAGGTGCCACAGACACAACTCTCCTCCAGCCAGATCTCCACGGAGAGGGGACTCCTTAGGGTGTTGGCTCAAGCTGGGACTCATGCTACCTCAGCACCTAACAGAGTTTTCTTTGCCATCACGATTTAAAAAGAGTTCTCTCAAGCCCAATGTCATGCATTCAGCCATTGACACTCACGAATAGCACGAGCTTGATTTCTGTCATTCTTCCTAACTGTTCTCCTAGCATTGGTAAGCTATCATGTAAGGACAGAAAAATCTGGACTAGGGGCCACTACCTGGAAATTACCAACTCTGGCAGGGCTCTAAAGTGGGAAATAATGGGAAGCAGTGGGGACTAGAGAGGCAATAACAAGCCTCAGATATGAAGGAAATTGGAGTCTTGGCCAAGTGGCTCAGTTGATTGGACATCATCATGTACACCAAAATGTTGCAGATTCAATCCCTGCTTTGGGTGTGTACAGACATCTCATATCAATGTTTTTCTTTCTCCTTTCCTTTCTAAAAAAATCAATAAACATATCCTCAAGTAAGGACCTTTAAAAAAGGAAAGGAAGTTGGAGAGATGACAAAACAAACATTCTCAACTTAGTTTCTACCTTTGGCCACTGGAACAGTGGTCATTACAATCCTACTGATGAACCTGGCCTCTGTGGTTGTTACTCAAATCCTCAGGTAGTAAAAGAAAACAAATCTACCTAGTTCCTATTTTTGTCAGCCTTCAAAATGCATCTTTTCCTCCCCAAGATAATCCTGATGAACACTTAAGTGAGAATTCACAGTTGTGTGATAACTTGGGAGCACTGGTCTCACAGAGATTTCAGGTACAGATAATATGGCAAAATCTCCAGAGCTTGCCAGAGGTACAACCTGTAAACTAGTTATAATAGCAATTCATTCTGTGACAGACACTGTGTGATGACTTCTCTGAAAGCTTCTGTTTGCACTGAATACCATGGCAACTGACAATGACATCCCAACAGAAACATTTTTTAAAAAATTATAATAGAGATTTGGAAGAATCAGAACTCTTCCGAGAGCCTGGTAAATCAGAGTGCTTGCTCCTGGCTTATGCTATGGTGCCCAAGAAGCAAAAGCTGGGTAGGAAGTCAGGGTGGTGGCTACAGGAGAAGATGAAAGGGATCTGCTGACCTTAAACGAATAGACAGCCAGATATTTCTCCTGCAAAATGGGTTGATTCTAAAGAACAACGAATTGCAATTGGGGACATGGCCCACATAGGGAACCACACAGAAGCCCCAGGAAACAAAGGAGAGGAATGCTCTTTTATGGATTTGGGAGGGGCTGTTGTAAAGGAAGAGTCCACTGGCAGAAACAGAAAATTTGGAGCATACTGACTTTTCATTGGCTTAGTTATGGCAGCCCTCCTCCCATTGGCTGGGCTGTTACTGGGCAGGTAGTTTTTTCTTGCTTCTGCTGAAACAGTAGTGTCCCTTCCCATTGCATTTGGTTGTGTGTGTGTGTGTGTGTGTGTGTGTGTGTGTGTGTGTGTGTGTGAGAGAGAGAGAGAGAGAGAGAGAGAGAGAGAGTTCTCTCTTCTGGCCTCTCCACTCTGCTTTCAATGAGGCTTCTGTTCATTAATTAATCTTCATGGTTCTATCACTGGGGGGTGGGAGGAAGAAAGGGGTGAGAAAGAAGTAAAAGATGAGAACCATGTAACCCTCCCACAGCAGCATTTCCTCCCTTTCTACAAGGAGCAGGTCATTCTCTCATGACTTTTGCTTCCTTCTGGTGGTTTGTATTGCCCCCCTGGCAAACATTTCTGCTTCTAGCTGCTGTCCCAAGGTCAACAGTAAACCTCATGGGCCACTTATGTTAGCAGCAGGACTCCTGGGGTAAAGTCGTACAACAACAATCTTTTCTCACCTGACCATTCAAATGCACTCTCTGCAGCCGGCTCTTTCTCTTGAATTTGGATACAAATTATTACACTCACTTTCAAATAATAAGAAGCCTTCTGGCAATGTCATGTCATAAAAAATTACAGTAATCTTGATTTAGTGATGCATATGTGCAGCCTGGTGCAATCAGTTAACATTTCAATCTTCATCAAAAGTTAACGTCTTGCCTCTCTGCAAAGGCCTGGCATGGGAAGTGGAGCTGTTGCTCTTCTATTCTGCCTGGTCCCCACCTCCCACACCTGGGCAGCCACTCACTCAGGTACTCTGGGTCCCTAGGAGCAGAATTTTCCAGAAATCCTCTTTACCCCTTCAGACACTTCGACACCTTCCCTGTAAGTAATGGATTAAGAATTGCAAAACTGGTTTTGACCACACCTAAATCAGGGGTTCACTCAACCAATTCATTAAACCATCCATTTGACTCTTTGATCTGTTAACTTATGGGCTGTCGGTTACATAGACAGCACTGTGCTAGATACCGCATAAGACACACTCTGCCATCCAGAAATGCCCCTGTGGTTCAGATGAGAACACATGCACACAGGCACTGGAACAAAAGACCACGTAGACTATGGCCCTGCGGCCATAAATGCTACAAGAAATTAACTAAGTATCCTCTCCTACACGGATTATCAGAGAAGACTTTATGTGGAAGCGGGAAGTGAATTTGAAACTTGAGGGCTGGGTAGTTCCAATAGCTCAATATGATGCTTTCTATGCATTTTATTCCTTAATCCCTTTAACAACCTTGTGAGGCGGGTGCTGTTATTATTTGCAGATACAAATGTGACAAAGCTCAGTCATATCAAGTCATTCGTCCAAGTACATAGCTGGGAAGTGAAGGATCAGGGATGCCAACAACCTTGTCCTCTTGAGGAGCCTGGGAAGAACTTTCCACTCTGGGAGGTGCAGGGGCAGGATAACACACACAAGGGAAGAAAGTGAGGGAAGGGAAGGGATGGTCAAAGTATGAGCTTATATCGTTCTCATTTTGAAGAAAATAATCTCAGGAGGAGGAAATGGAAGATGACATAAGAGTTGGGCGGGGTAGGGAATTTAATCATCTCTGTGCCTCAGTGGCCTTGACGAAGAACCTCTAACAGAGGAGCGTGTCTGGCAGGCACACGTCATCACATTCTCCCACCTCCCCTCAGTGCTAACCACACAAGTTTCTCTCAAGTTCAAGCCTCTGTTTATTTCTTAATCATGGCAGCAGGATTTCATCTGACATGCCTTTGCATGAGGAGGGGCTCCAGGTCCCCAGTCCTGTGTTTTAACCGTGTGCTGTGTTGGGACGGTGTGGAGAGACAGTAAAGAATCGTCAGTAGAGACACTTTACTGGGGAGTAAAGCGTGGGATGGCCTGCAGCGCAGAACTGTCAAAACGAAGAAAATTTGATTTATCTGCTCAGAGGAAGACGATCACTTATGATTTTCAGAGAACTGTTAGGATATGGGATATAAATGGCTATTTCCCCTCAAAGACGCCCTTTTTTTTTAAAAAAAAAAAAGTGCATGTTACATAGTGTTATGTCTGTTGATTTATAGTGATATCTTTGTGAAATGATGAGGAGAAGTCATTTTTCTTCAAAAATCAGCAGTTCAGAGTGCTGCTCCTTCATCTCTGCTACAAAGGGAGAGCCAAAAAAACCTGGAATTATCTTCTGGAGGGTGGGCCCCGGTAGTCCAGGCTTCCCTCCCCAGTTGAGTGTTCTAGGAACCCAGCTGCATCAGTGTTCCAGCTGTCGTGTTGTGAGAGGCTACATTCAGCTTCAGTGAATTGTTTTGAAGACTCTTTCAATACATTTGCCCATTTCACGACAGGTGATTTATGAGCGTACCTCCCTGCACTGAGTGTTCAGCCGATTTTGACCAAAAATAGCATGGCCCCATGCCTCACCCGCCCTATCCACCCGATCTCTCCCTGACTGAAATTTTTGTTTGTTTCCCTGGATGAAAAAAGGCCTCAAAGGGAAATGTTTTGCTGATGTGGAAGAGGTGAAACAAAAAATGGCAGAAGCGCTAAAAGGCATCAAAATCGAGTTCAAAACCTGTTTTGAGCTGTGGAGAAAACTTCGTGACAGGTGTATTGCACCAGACGGAGAGTACTTTGGAGGTGACTGAAGTTTAAACATGTAAGAATCCACAATTCTTCATATGTAAATTCTGGGTTTGGGGATCCCCCCTCATATATGACCATTTCTCCCTCTAGAGTCTGACCTCTTGTGCTTTTACTCCTCAAACATAGTCATATACATCACTGAGATTTCATATTTACTAGAGTCCCTGGTGACTTTTTAATTTTTCCAATTTAAAAAGAAACAAAACAGTACATTCAATCGCATTGACACCTGCAAGAGAATGAGAACTTCAAAACTCAGGACCTATAGTGTAATTCCTACAGGAGTTGCCATGACTTTTCCTGTGAAGGAGACACAAGACAAAATCTCAAAAGCATCAGGCATAGAATAGTTTCTATTTCCATGTGGGCTTTTTTCCCACCATTTCTCAGAACAGGTATGGTCTCAGATTTTAGATTCTCTTTTCAGGCTTTTTAAAAAAATAAAGTAACATTTGAAAACTTGCTTTTAGTCCCTAAAGAAGAGCCACAAATGTGCATGAAACTCCTGTCTAAGAGATTGAGAGTGAGGTGCTAGTAAGTTCTGTGGTAAGGAATTGTGTTCAATTTTGTTTCACCCAGAAGTCCTATATTTGTCTTCTTGGAATGGTTATCATCCTGAGACAGATGTTAGGAGGCACTGGTACAGGTAAAAATGAAGACATGAAGCATCTGGCCCGTCAGACTGGATTATAAGGAGATCCCTTTTGGTTGACAGGAAAAAGAAATAATGAATAGTGCATAATGGTAACTGTATTTTTCATGCACTAGATACCCATAAATTGCATATCCTGAGTATAAACCATTGCCTGAGTTTCAAAATGCTTACAATGAAAAGTAAAATAAATAAATTAGAGCTTAATCATTTCAAGTCTCGTTCTTGTGCTACTTCCCACAAATAAAATACATTCTAGGTTTCCAGAAAAATTATCTAGAAATTTTTAATGAACATTCTAGATGTCCCTGAGTTACATGCCTTGCCTTGTCATTTCACCTTTATAAATAATTATGAGCTATTGAAAATTGCAGAGATACAACTGTGAGCTAGGACCATACAACTGTAGAATTCGTACCCTTACCCCCAAACTGCAGTGGAATCCTCCTGTGGCTAATTTAATGCAGAAAAGTTTCCAGATCTAAGCAGAAAAACATGTAAAGAAATAGTTTTTACTGCAGCCGTAGCCATGACAATGTGCTTTGAGTCTGCGAGCCTTGGGAATAAACAGCCCAGTGAAAAAGACATATTTCCTTAGAAGAAGAAAATAAAGCCTAAGGAAAGGAGAAGAGTTTACCTCTTTATTCTGCGGTCAGCATCTAAAGCCATTCTCATCGATTTCATGCTGGTGGTTTACTGAAAGGAAAGACCGAGAATTTAGAAGCTATGTCAGCAGTGGAAAGATAGATGTACCCATAAGAAAGAAAACAACCTATTTTCATGACGCAAATTTTCCAGATGTTAAATGAAAAAAGAACTTCCTTTATAAAAGATTTTACTTATTCATTTTTAGACAGTGGGAAAGGGAGGGAGAGAGGAAAACATCAATGTATGGTTGTCTCTCATGTGCCCGCTACTAGGGACCTGGCCCACAACCTAGGCCTGTGCCGGACTGGGAATTGAACTGGCAGCCATTTATTGGGGCACAGGCTGGCACTCAATCAACTGAGCCACGCCAGCCAGAACAAAAAAAAAATCATTTCACTCAACCAAAAATAACTTATCCGACAGGTCTGTAGATTGAATGTTTGTCCCTTTCACCCACCAACCAATTTATAGGTTGAGAACCTAAGGCCTAAAGTGATGGTATCAGCAGGTAGGGCCTCTGGGAGGTGATTAGGAATCAGTGTCCTTGTTTTAAAAGAGGCCCAAGAAAGCTGCCTTGCCTCAAGTGCCACGCGGAGATCACTGTGAGAAGACCACTGCTGAAGAAGAAGCGGCTCTGGAGCACCGTGGCTGTGAAGATTGGAGTGTGAAAATCACTTTCATAATGCTTATTCCTCTTCTACCTGAATTACAAGAATAATGGCTATCCTATTCCCACAGGATTCTTCAGTAGACTGTGAACTCTGGAATATAGTAAACGCCTCACCTCAGTGTCTCCAGTGCCGAACGCAGATCTGTTACATAGCTGGCACCTCCACATCAATCAGCTTGGAACAAGAAGTGCAAGGCAAACAAAAGTTGTATCTGGTGGTATTTTTAGGAATTGCAAATCCAGGAGACAGAGATTTGGATAGAAATCCAGCTGTGTTCCTAGGGAAAAAGAAAGGGAAGAATTTACAAAGACAGAAAAAGAGGGTCTTCCAAAGAGGTCACAAGTTGCTTTCAAAGAGCTGTAATTGGTGTAGGGAAGTGGACTTACACCGTGCTATACCTGAGCAACTAATTAGTGCCTATTGCTGGGGAAAAGTTTATTTTTTACTAGAGAGTTCAGTGATGTAGTGCCAGTCCAGGAACTGAATCAGGATGCAGCCCTTTGGTTTAGCCCAGAGCACATGGGGCGCAGGGGGCAGGGATAGCCCAGCTTCCTGGAAGCTTCCTGGCTCTACTTTAGACTTCTCTCTTGACAATACCAGCTCTATTTACTGTTTGTCTTTCCCATAATAAATGTTTCAAGTGAATAAGTAAATGGATGGAAGGTGGGGTGAGTAATTAGTTAATGATAGTGACTGCAATTTACTAGTGAAGATCAGCCAATCAATTAATATTTATTATTCATTGTACATATTACGTGACAGTTTGTACTTGAAGCTAGATTCTAAGAAATTGTGGTAGAAAAAAAAAAGAGGATTGGTGAACTAGCTGGACTTTTCATCCAGTGTAAATGTGAAGATTTGGGCCCCTTTAAGACTTCTTAAGATGTCTTTGGATCATCCAGCTAGTGCTAACTATAGGCTGCATGGTCCCAGGGCTACTGATACAGATTAACTATTTTTGGGCTGACCAAAGCACAGTTTGGTCACTATTTAATGGAGTGGTTTGTCAGGTTCTAGTGGTCACAGATAGGGTCAGCATGTGGTGTCAAAGATTAATGCAACAGTTAGTTGATCTGCAATCATCAGTGTAGCAACCTCTGGGATCAGCCCTGCCTGAAGATCCTGAAGATTCTTCTGATTTTTAATCTGGCAGTTTAGACAAAAGTTGACCTCTCTGACATCTCCATTTCCTCTGGATTTAACACTCTCCCCTGGACCTCCCTAATTAGTCCCTCAAGATCAGTAGTTGCACGAAGAAGTCCTTTTTACAGAAAAGACTGAGAATCTGAATGCCCTAGGGGTCCTGGGCTTTCTCAAAGCAGATGCTGGCCTCTAGGGGTGGGCAATGACCTTAGTCACTGGAACTCATTTTATTTGATTGTTAGGATGGATGGTTTCCACCATATGGCTTAAACAAGTTATTTTAAGCTGTAATTCTTTATACATGTGCCACTTTCTGTGCTAATCATGCCCCAAACTCTGCTTCAATCTAAGAGTCTGCTGTACCCCAAGACCTGGAGTCCTGTCTCATGTTTAATTTGCAGCAGCTTTCATAACCAATACAGAAAGACGTGTTCATTCAAGAAGCCAGGTGGGACATCTGTGGTCTTGAAAGCAAGCAAAAGATTGGAAATAAATACTCCTGTTAACAAATGTCTCATTGATCAGGAGATTGAAGTTAGCTGACTACTACAATCAGTCACTCTTTTTTAAAAATACAGAGGAATGCTTGATTCCATTTTCTATGTCTTTTATTAATACCTGTTTCACTAACACCCTACTACCTAAGTAGTGGATCTAGTAACTTTTGGTTCTAAAAGAAATACATATATATATATATATATATATATATATATATATATGCATTTCATAGCTACTATTGTTGCAGTGTGCATCTTTTCTACCTGTGTTTGGTTAGGATCCTTGTCTTTTTTAAGCACTCTATTTGGCCGAGAAGCGTGAACTATGCCATCTAAACATTTCCCTTATTGTACTTGTCACTATATAGCAGTTCTGATAGCACAAATCTGGGTTCCCATTCTTTAGAATTCTACAGAATCATATCCATGTTCCTCGTTTGACATACATTTTTACAAAAAATGCGTGTTTAAAAAATATCATATAATTCTCTAATGGAAAATTAAAGGTCCTGGTAATCACCCATCGCTTCTGTTTTCATACAGAGAATTTTTCTGCAGAAGTCGATCAGCACCATCACTAACAAAAACATCTATTTTAAGGTATGTTGGTGATAATTGTTACCCCAAATTTGGCAGAAAGAAGAAGTAATCCAAATAAATAGGATTTATTTGGTCTATATTTATTGGTCTATGTAAGACCAATTCATTAGAGGAAAACAAAGAATTGGAAGGATAAAAAAATTGTAATTTCAAACCACACCTTCCGAATTTTGAGAACTTCCTGGAATCATCTAGACACGGGAAAAGCACCAGTCAGCCCTATTCAGCAAGAAGGTAAGGTATCTTTCCCCAAAGAAATAACAAAGAAATCCTAAACCAACTTAAGGCAGCAGAAAATAATGATTGCATGTACTTATTCTGTCTCACTGACCATTTGGAAAACAAAGGACCCAAAGTTCTGTCCACCTTCCTGATTAAAGGGAGGTTCAGAGGATACAGTAAAAAAGATGCATCCTTTAGATATGACTTTAATTGGTTAATTCAAATCTTATAAGAAATGCAAGTGGCTTTCTGAACTGTAGACCTTATTCAGTGCAATTACGTAATTGTATAAACTCCACTAATTGCTAGAGACAATGTCACATAGTGTTGAGAGTACTCTGTCTATCAGACTGTTCGGTTTTGAATCCCACCACCTGTGTTTGCTGTGTGACCTTGAACAACTCACTTAACCTGAGTCTTATGTTGGGAATGGCTCTGCCTGGTTTCAGGAATTGTAACTGCCCCCCATGGCTAAGGATGAGTGAGTGACCTCTGGAATGCGAGCCACAAGGAGACAAAGTTTGTCTCTGGTAGCAAACTCTGCCTCTGCTTCCTCCCCTGCCCCCAAAGCTTGGTCAGTTAGTTGATGATGGGTAAGACTCCCCAGAGAAGGGGCAACCCAAGCCAGACATAATCATGTGGCGGGCCATCATGGAAGGACTTGGGGGGCTGCAACAAAGAGGGGGTGATGGGCCCTCGCCCCCCGGCTATTCTGACATAGCCTGATGTCCTCTGGGAGAAGCTCTTCCTGACTCTAATCCACTTAAGCCTGAAAACCTGTGATGGGGGAACCGGTGCAGCCTCTTACTGGCTATGGTGGGATCCGGGTTAACCAGGCTTAGGAAAGAATTCCCAAAAGTCCTGTGAAGCCTGCTTTGCTAAGAGTGTTTTCATTAATATGATAAGGGTCTGAGCAGGAAATGAGTATGTCTCCCAAAGTTTCTGCAACCCCCTTTCCTGACAGACACTGACTCAGACTAAGCCCTCAGATTTGTTTGAAATGTTATCTACTGTTTGATCCTTACTGCCTGTATTCCTGTGTGTTACAACCCAATAAAAGCCATTGAGGAGGGGCTCTTGGCCTTTCTCCTCTGAGAGATTGGCCACCTCTCCTCCCCAAGCAAATCATGTCTTGGTAGTGTTACTTTCATCCATGGCGGATAGGGGGACTTGCTGGCAAAGTTGCCCCCACAGTCTTAGCCACCTTATCTGTAAAATGGAGATAAAAATAGTAATAACTTCAAGTCTTACTGCGAGAATTAAATGAGTCAAGATGTGGCCCTGGCTGGTGTGGCTCAGTTGGTTGGACTGTCCTTCTGCAAACCAAAGGGTTGCAGATCAGGGCAGAAGCCTAGGTCATGGGTTCCATCACTGGTCAGGGCACATACAACAAGCATTGATCGGTTGATCAATGTTTCTCTCTCACATTGATGTTTCCTTCCCTCTCTCTCTCCCTCCCTCCCTTCCCCTCTCTCTAAAATCAATAAGCATGTCCTCAGACAAGGATAAAAAACTAAATATATAAAACATATGAGTCAATATGCGTAAAGCACTAAGAACAGTACTGTTGCATAGTAAATACCAATACTCATATGCCAAATTTTACTGATTCTGTAAAAAAAATTGCTGTATTTGTGGCAGTCCCGGCCAAGATGGATGTGTTGGTAGAAACCCTTTGCTTCCTCACACAACCAAAAGGAGGATAACAACTAATCTAAAATCAATAAACAACCAGAAATGCCAAAAAATCAAACTGCACAGAGGCCCAACAACCAAGGAATTAAAGAAACAGTCAGCCAGAACAACCATACCAGTAAGAACCCACAGTGAAGCAAACAGTGGGCCGTGTGTGTGCAGCTGCCTGAGCAAACCTGGGGCCAGGTGGTGGACCACATGGGCAGGGCTGGCTGAAGGTGAAACTGAGACTCAGAGCTGACTGTGAACTATGGCGGTTGCTGCTGTGGGAGAAACTCCCAGTCTCACAAGAGTTCGTTGGAAGATGTGCTAGAGTCGAGCAGGCAAACTGCACTATTCCCTCTCTGGCCCCTCCCACACAGGCACAGCAAGGAGGGTTGCCCTGCCCCAGCAAATACCTAAGGCCCTGCACCCTTACAATTTCTCAGGTGCACCCAGGTAAGGAAATAGGGCCCAAATGAAAGAATAGAGCAAAGCTTCAGAAAGACAGCTAAGTGATGAGATCACCAACCTATCCAGTGGAGAATTTAAATCCCTGATAATCAAAATGCTCACAGAACTGATTGAGCTTGGCCAAAAAATGAAAGACACCCAAAATGAAATAAAGCAAAATATTCAGGGAACCAACAGTGACAGGAAGGAAACCAGGATTCAAAGTAATGATTTGGAACAAAGATAAGAAATAAACATCCAACTGGAACAGAATGAAGAAACTAGAATTCCGCCCCCCCAAAAAAAAGAAGAGATGCTAAGGAATCTCCAGGACAACCTGAAACATTCCAGTATATGAATTATAGGGGTGCCATAAGGAGAAGAACAACAGCAAGAAATTGAAAACTTATTTGAACAAATAATGAAGGAAAATTTCCCCAATCTGGCAAAGGAAATAGGAAGTCCAGGAAGCCCAGAGAGTCCCCAAGAAGTTGGACCCAAAGAGGAACACACCAAGGCACATCATCCAAGATTAAAGACAAAAAGAAAACATTAAAAGCAATAAGAGAAAAGGAGAGTTACCTACAAAGGATTTCCCATAAGACTATCAGCTGATTTCTCAAAAGAGACCTTACAAGCAAGAAGGGCTGGAAAGAGGTATTCCAAGTCATGAAAAGCAAGGACCTACATCCAAGATTGCTCTGTGCAGCAAAGCTTTCATTTAGAATGGAAGGGCAGATAAAGTGCTTCCCAGATAAGGTCAAGTTAAAGGAGTTCATCATCACCAAGCCATTATTATATGAAATGTTAAAGGGATTTATTTAAGACAAAGAGGATAAAAATATGAACAGTAAAGTGACAACAAACTCACAACTATCAACGAATGAATCTAAAAGAAAATACAAACAACGGAAACAAAAACTTAGCAAACAACTAGAACAGGAACAGAATCAGAGAAATGGAGATCACACAGGGGGATTTCAGTGAAGAGGGGGAAGGGAGGAATTGTGGGGAGGCACAGGGAAGAATAAGCATAACTGGTAGGCATAAAATAGGGAGAGAAAAAATGGTATAGGAAACAGAGAACTCAAAGAACTTATATGTACAACCTATGGACATGAACTAAGGGGGGGCAATGCTGGAGGGTTGGGGGATGCAGGGCAGAGGTGGGATAAAGGGGGAGAAATTGGGAAAACTATAATAGCATAATCAATAAAATATACTTAAAAATTGCTATACCTGTGCCTGCCTATATAACACACTTAAAGACACATGAAAAAATTATCAATAATTCTTTTGTTTCAATATAGTGAACACTGGACACCCTGAAGTATACCAAATTTGGTGAAATTTATCAATTTTTTCAAAATTGTTGTGGAATAAATATATTAATAGAACAAAGCATTAAATGTCAAATGTTGAATTAAAATTTTATTCACATCGACAAAAGTGGTTAAAGTCAAGAAAAAAGAAGATACTTGTTCAGGAAATAGAGAATCCATCTGAGGAATGAGGCACAGGACATTCCCAGGACAGCAATGAGAGAGACCCCAGGGCATCAGCTGAATGTACTGCCTCTCAAACCTTATTGTGCATAGGAATGGCTGGGGGCGCGGGGGGGGGGGATCGTGTTACAGTGCAGATTCCGATTCAGTAAGTCTGAGTAGGGTTTGAGATTCAAAATTTTTAACAGGCTCTCCACAGGATGCTACTGCTGCTGCTTCAGGGGCTACACTTTGCACGGCAGGCTGTCGAGAACGTTCCAAATTGTTACAAGATTGTACAGAGAAAGAAAGAGAGAGAGAAATTGGTTTGCTTCTGGGAGATAATGGATGATGAATTAGTGTCAGGCAATAGTAGTACAGTAGAAGAGGAAGAGGGATGAAACAGAGGGAAAGATCACTCTTAATTAAATACAAATCAAGCAAAAACACGGACTGATGGGGGAGGGCCCTGTCGTACTTGCTCCTTTTAAACACCTGAGGAGGAAGGCCGGACCATCTGAACGGAAACAAATTCGTGGCCATGGGGTCTCAGGAGCACCCCTGTAAGATGCTCTGGATGGTGGGATTAGCCCGTCGCATTGCAGACCCAGCAGGAAGCACCACCACCCTGAACCCGGGTAGTGGGCGGAGCCTCGCCCCGCCTTTAGGGGCGTGGATATGGGCGGAGCCTTCTCCCTAAATTGGAGCGTCTGTAGCGACGCAGCGACTGGAATTAGCGGCTCTTGAACCCGGAAGCAGTCGGCGGCTCTCGGAAGCTTCGGCGAAACGCGGGAATCGGCTGGTACTGGGCTTCAGGATGGTCGGCGGCGGCGGTGGGAAGCGGAGGCCCGGCGGGGAGGGCCAGCAGGTACTGCTGCGAGGCTGTGCGAGCCCCGCCTGAGCTCTTGGTGCTAGCCAGGGCACCAAGGGGCAGCGCATCGCACTGATCCGGTGATCCTTGAGCGCCTGCTCTGTCCCTTGACACGGGGGTTGCTCCGCCGACCGTGCTTGGGGCCGCGGTTTCCCGGAGTTCTGGTCTTCGGACCCAAAAGTAGCGCCTTTGTGTCGTCGCCTCGGCTCCCGGCGCGGTTCCTAGGAAAGCAGTTTGAGACAGTCAACAGTTGATTGGCTCGACTAGCTAAACTGACCTAGTTGAACCAGGCGCTGTGTGGGTCTTGAGGATTCAAGATGAATCCTGCCGCCCCTGCATCATCCCCAGCCAGGGAGGTGGGGCACCAGTGAATATACCTGTTACTGTAACTTTTTTGTTTGTCATTGTATCAAAAATGTATAAAACATGGAAACATTGAAAAAGCATTTAGCAAGTCCCTGGCGGGTGTTAAGGAAGCTTTTAAGGCAACTCAAGTTTGAGAGGGTTCTTGAAAACAGAGAAGTAAGGGGTAAGGAGTAAGTGCAGAGGATGTTGGGGCACAGGGCAGAGTTCTGAGAGGCTGGAGCCTGGGAGGTGAGAAAGTAAGGGGGGGACATGATCGTAAAGGCACTAATGAAGGAAGGGGGCATGAAGTATGTGCACATTCTCATACTTTTTTTTTAAAAGATTTTATTTATTTTTAGAGGGGAAAGGAAGGAGAGAGGGAGAGAAACATCAATGTATGGTTGCCTTTCGTGCATCCCCTGCTGGGAACTGGCCTGCAGGGAACCGGCCTGCAACCCAGGCATGTATGTGCCCTGACTGGGAATGTAACCACGAATATCTGGTTCACAGGCCCGCGCTCAATCCACTGAGCTACACCAGCCAGGGCCATTCTCATACTTTTAATTGATTTCTGAAGTTCTATAACCACTACACTAGTACCGATAAGGCAGCAAAGAACTGTCATTGTGATAAGTAGAGTTTTAGAAAACTCATTCTGGCTGTATTATAACCGAGTGGGGGGAGACAGGGTTAGAGGGCCTGATTAACTGGGAGAGGGCCGTAGCCTGGGCTTCATTGTGTCGGTCGTGCTTTCTAGGAACACAGGGGTAAAGTGCAGCCTCTGAAGGGGACAGCTGTCCAAAATTCTAGTTATTGGGGATTTGGAGATGCTCGACAGGTGTGTGAGATAAGGCAGAGCTGAAAAAAATTAGTATTTCCCTTTGGTGCAGTAAACCAGTTTGACAGAGAAATAGTGTTAGAAACAAAATACCAAACATAAAGATGATTCTGTAGAGACTACAGCTAACAATAGTAGCCACATTTATGTGTCATGTATTAGGTATGTTCTGTGTATTTTTATAAATAACTTACTCCTTATAACAGCCGTATGATATAGACAGAGTACTACATATGCCCTTTTTGTAGATGAGAAAACAAGGCACAGAGAGGTTAAGTAACTTGTCCAAGGTGACAACTGGAGATCAGAAGTCAGGAGTCAACCCAGGTAACCTCTCCACTGTTCAAAACTGCCTTTCAGCAAAGTAGATGGAGGCTTTCCTTTTAACATCTAAGTCTGAGGCAGTCTTTGAAAGCTTAACCAAAGGTGTTACTGAAACAGAAGGGAGGATGGGTCAGAACTTGGTATGTTCCAACCGGTCTATATTTGTAGTTGGAGAAGCACCGCGAAGTGGTTGAATCTGTGCACAGGAGCCAGCCCACCTGGGTTTAAATAAACCCCTGTTCTTTCATGTTATAGTTAGGGCCCTAGGGGAAATTACTTTGGCTTCCTTTTTTGAAAAATGTGGAGAGTATCATCTAGCTCGTAAGGTAGTTGTGAAAATTAAATAAATTAATTCATAGAAAGTCCTTAGAACAGTAGCTTGGCACATAGTGAATGCATAATAAGTACTTTTAAAAATTATGTATTGTTTTTATTGTTATTATCTTCATTACTGTTCCTTGCTTTTATCATCAATACCCATTTTGGTGTCCATATTTCAACAGCTTTTGGTTAAATTTAATTTTTATGATCTCAGACATATTATACTCCTTGGCATAATAAACTGTTACTATTGGCCAATACATGATCCTCATTTACCTTGTTTATTAATAATATAACAAACACCTATAAACCCACTGCCTGAGCCAAGAATCAAAACACTCAAAATAACTCTACACTTAACCTGCGTCTCACCTATCCTCTGCCTAACATCCTATCGCCCGCACTTGGTGCAGCTACCACCCTGGGTTTTGTTTTTCCTTGCCTTCTTTTTATAGCTTTATCCCCTATGAGTGTATGCCTTAATAACCTTTGTCGTTTTTGAACTTTATACAAAAGCTGTGATGCTGCATATAATCTTCAAGAACTTTTTCCTTCATTCAGCATTCCAATTATAAGGACTGATTTGAATCGCGTGCACCTATACTTCCTTCTCACTAAGTACAATATTACATTGTTTGGAAGTCCTGTAACTGTCCATTCTCCTGTCAGTAGGCATTTTCATTTACTCTCTTTTCTGCTCTTGGAAACAGTGCTATCAAGAACTTTCTCATATATGTTATCTTCATAGACTTTGAATGCTACCTCAAGCAACATCAATCAACTTGAGTCTACTGGGAAAGTGGAAGAATATAAATAGGAGAAACGTTTAGGTTAGAAGTTTTCAGTCTTGGCACTGTGGACATTTTGGGCCAGATAAATGTATGTGTTAAGGGGGCCTATCCTGTGCATTGTGGGATATTTGGCAGCATCCCTGGCCCCATCCCACTAAATGCTAGTAGCACCCCCCCCAACCCCTCTGCCCTGCATATTTGTGTGGAATTGATCCTGGTTGAGAAGCACTGATGTGGGTGGAAAGGAAGAATAAAAAAAGAACTTAATCCAAAAGAAAGGTTCTAGAAAGAAAAACAGATTGCTATGTACAAAACTAAAGATAAGTAACTTTCACCTAAGCATTTTATCATTATAGAAATTTGTCAAATACCAATATGCATTATAAAACCTGGCATAATTATATAATGAACTGCAAAGATATTGGAGATGAGTTTTATCACCTTGTCCTGACATTAAAGGGCCTTTTGTGAAATAATTCTTTAACTGGTAGATTCCCTTGTATCCAGTTGTTTCTGACATTTTACACTTGATGTGATGACTGAATCTAAACAAAAGGCACAGTGACATCCTGTTTACCAAATGAAGGCAAAACCTGCCTTTTCCTTACTCATCTTTTCCCACCTCTTACCTTTTCTCTTTACTTTGATTTTTTTGTTTGTTTATTTTTCTGTGTTTCCATTATTTTAGAGAAATAGATTAAAGACTTGCAATGTGGATCCCTCTTGCCACTATGTATTACAAACTCTTTTTTATTTGCCCAGAGAATCCCCATATCTTACTCAAATACCATTTATAGTGTTGTAAAGAAAATACATGTATGCCATAGAATTGGGTGAACAAAAATGAGCAGTGTTGCTACTTAAGGGAAATTACTGAAATTCCTTCTTGGAGAGAACATTTCATATGCCAACTTTCAGAGTGAAAAAGCAGTTGATGTGAAGAAGAGTAAATCCTGTGAAGCTGGTGTCTCCAGTGACCTTCGAAAAGAAGTAGAAAGTCATTATAAGCTTTCTCTGCCTGAAGATTTCTATCACTTCTGGAAGTTCTGTGAAGAACTCGATCCTGAAAAGCCAGCTGGTGAGTTATTCCAGAATCATTCTCCCGCTTCTGCCTTTGGAAAAGACAGTGGGGGACTGAACCAAGGTCTAAGCAGTTCATAGAAAAGGAAACTTTCCAACATGTGTCTAATAAGAGAAATATAAAATTATGCTATAATAACATGTCACTATCACCTGTTATCCTGGCAGGGGTAAATAAGTTCACGACATGCTTTGATGAGAATTTGAAGGAAAACAAGTACTTTGATATGTTGGAGTTTTAGTAATGACCTAGCGGTTCTACTTCTAGGAACTCGTCTTATGGATTGGGTGAACCAAAAATTATGTTCAGTGATGTTTTTGGAAATAAAAAATGAGAAATGGCCTACATGCTCATCAGTAATACATCATAGCAGTAAATGCTATGAATATTCAATGAGTATTCATAGTTTTAGAAGAATGGATCAGATTTTTAGGCAATAATAAAGTAGCATGCCTGGAAGATTTTCAAGTGAAAAAGTGTATAGAGTACACTGCTGTCATTAGTATTAAAAAAAAAAAGTCAAGTATGCACACACATCCCTATGTACTTTCTATGTGCTTATTACTGTCTCTGAAAGGATACACAAAAAAACATAATAGTTGTGACAGAGTTACTTTTCACTATTGCCATTTTACACTATTTAAATTTTCAGCATGAGGTAGGGAGAGAGAAACACTCATATACTATTGATGGGAATATGGGTAGATAACTGAATTTTGGCAGTATGTCAAAATACTTAAACTGTGCAGCAACTTCTCTAAAAATAATCATGGCTGTGTACAAACATGTATTAGCAAAGATGTTCACTGAAGCATTGTTTAGAATAGTAAAAAAAGTAAATATCAATAGTAGAATAGGTGTCTATAGTGGAATATTTGCAATTATTAAAATTATGTAAAAAATTTAATAGCTTGGAAAAGCATTCAGAAAATTTAAGTGGAAACAGGGTGGAGAACAAAAAAACCCTTACAAAACAGTATGATCTCCCTTTAAACTGTCTATATGATTACATTTGTTCACAGAGTGGGGGAAATGCTATCACTGTATACCAGACCATTATCC